ACACGCGCAGCACACGCGCAGCACACGCACAGCACACGTGCAGCACATGCGTCAATGAGATAGGGAGGATTCAATGAGTCACATAAATTAGTGAGTGGGCTTCTGCAACCAAGGAGGAACATGAATATGGGTCTTTACAATCATAATTTAACACCTTAAACACTATATCACATTGGCTGAATTTCGGTTTTAATAAAGCCTAAAAGAATCAAACTGGATGCGACACAAGACAAAGGTAAACAATTTGGTTCTCTTTAGAAATTTGGGATCAAAGACTACATTTACAAGGGACGCGAGAATCACATTGCCCTCCTTTGACATAATATATCTTTAATAAGATCTCCTGGCAACATTTTGATTGGCACAATTATCTATTGTAAGGAAGAAAATTCCTATATTAAATGACATTTTTTTGATAATTGACAGTATTATTATAATTAATGGTAATCAGAGCTATAAATCATAATCATATGAAATGTGTCTATATTAGAGAAGAGAATATAACACCGAAATGTCGCTGTCATTGGCGCCACCTGCATCACTGTCTTTACTTTATAATTACTATAATATATCTTACCTCCAACAAACACATAAGCACTGTACTCCTCATAATAGTCTCCCATTATCACACGAAGAGTATAAAGGCCTTCATCTTCTTTATTAGCATGAGTCAAGGTCAGTGAGGCTCTTTCTCCACTCCAATGCATCTGAACCCATTTTGATGGAGAAATCAAAACTCCTAAAAATAAAAATAAAATGTCATGAACAGATGCCACTCACAAATGGAATTATGTTTAAATAAACATCCTTTCCCAAGGAAATACCTAATAGTCCTTTCACAATGATACATTTGACTGAGTTTAATGCACTGAAGCCACCTTTTTCAAAACATTGCACAAAATTGTGTAAGTGGTTTTAGGTTTCTTTCCAACTTTAGATACTGTATATGGAAAAGTTCAATCAATAATGTGTTTGCTTAAGAGAATGAAAACATTTCCTTGTGTGATATTAAAAATGCACATTTTCTTCATTCATGAGTGTCAACTGGTTCAATAATTGTGGCTTGGCCTTATGGAATTAGTCTCACTCCCAAGTCTTCACATTGATTTCAGGGCTTTCCAAAAATGTTTTCATCCTCAAGGCAAAGAAAAGCTATTTCCAGTTTCACTCAACTTATTAAAATGGATTGGCTGTTAAATCTTATTTCAAGTCAGAAAATTATCTTCAAGTGAACCTATGAACACAGTGTATCTTAAAGAGTCAGGAGAGATTTTAAGGTGTATATATCACTAACCATTCTATATTTTAAGTATCTGTCTATTGAGAGGCTACTCTCCCATTCATGGCCAATCCTCAGTTTCAGCAAGAAGACAGAAGAGGCTTTCACTAACTAGTTAACATTGATATAGGTAGTTTTTTCTGTTATACAGTGAAAATAATTTATTACAGTCTTTAATGAAGAAAAATATTTCTTAAACTGAATAATCAATAGTTTTACAGTTTATTGTGCTACAATAGCTTAAAAGGAAATCATAGTTAAATATCCTGGCTTATTGTAGTATGCAATTCAGCCACAGTCTGAGAATAAAAGTAACATTAGAATAGGTAGCTTTCAGTTTATGTCCATTTCTTCAGTGACCATTCAAAATTACAGAGGTGCTGAAATAAAATAAATGTATAGTTGGTCCTTGAAATTCTGGCCATCACAGTACCCCTGTAGTCATATGATTACAATCTGGGTGCTCAGATGCTTGACTCGTGATTATGATGTTGCAGGAACCTATGGTCACATGATTGCCATTTGTAACCTTCTCTGCCAGTTTCCCACAAACTGTGAGGAAGTGAGGGTTAGTGAGGAAGCCACCAGGGAATGTCAGAGGTTTTGCTCCAGTTTTTTTCTCCTACCTGCAACACATCTACCCTGCTGCATGCAACCTGCACCAGCCCTCTCACGGCCTCCTCTGACTCACATGTGGCCTGTCCAGCCATCCCAATGCTTCTCTAGGCCTTCCCTCCATGGTACCGTATGCGCCTTATGTGAGACTCCTGCTTCATCACTTAACAACCCATAAGTTCTGGTGGTATGGAGGACAAAAGGAGCTGCCAGGATTTGTATTGCTAAGGGATGTAGTCACAAATACATCGCTTAGCGACAGCAAACCCAATCCCAATTGGCATTGTAACCCAAGGACTACCTCTTGCCACAACTTGCTTTCTATTGGGTGATCCACTTTTTCCCCTACAACTTCAAATGTATAGAAATATCCTAGACAGACATCATCTAACTGAAACAAAGAAGAACTTTATCTTTTAGTGCATGCTTACCATTCCTGTACCACTGGATTTCTGGGTGAAAACGCTTAATATCAGGATGAATGACAACTGTGCAGCCCAGACTCATTGTCTCACCTTCTCTTCCAAAAGAAACATCAAATGCATCCACAAAATGTATTTCAAACCTGGAAGCATAGCCGTATGGACTAACACCAAGGCCAACTGTAAGAAGAAAAACTAAGCTTATTCCTTTGTTAAAGCTGGATTATTTAAAGTCAGGTGCTAAGCCTCCTTTCTTCTTCTGAAAAGATAATTTTTCAGATCACCAACAGTGGAAGCAATTTTAAAGAGAGACATACCAATCTGGGAAGTATATCATATAAGTCAAAATTGGTCAGTTTTCTTTAGTATAAGATCAAAGTTCCCAGTTGAAAAGATATGCCTCAAATTCTCTTCACCATTCTCTTCATTATATTATTTAAGTGATGCTTAAGTGATATTTCATTGTTTCATAAATTAAGTTGATTTATTTTTATCCTTTTATCATGATTTAACATAAAAGTGGATGTTGTTTTCTGTAGGCTGGATATTACAAGTCTGAGTTATATAACTATGCTAAAAATGGGTTTGGCACTCAGTTCATTCAAGCTGCATGTTATTAGTTTAAGAATAGTCCTGACAAATTCAAACAGTGGCCCTTTGGTTAGAACATTAACCAGTGAGAGATTATATTGTTGTTTCTGTTGTTGTCTTTATTCTGAAATCAGCTGAACAATAACTTTAGAGAACCAGATAATCTTTCTGAAAGCAATACTGGCAAAAAAATGACATCAAAAGGCTGCATATGTTACTTGCTGCATTGGGCATTTTTCTTTCTATTATGGTAAATGGAAAACTCTGATTTCCACAATAATATACTTTAGAATCCTAATGATAGGAAATTAATGTTCCCTGAGTCAACCTATATTTTGTTCACCATATAACAACGTAATTCTTATAAAGGGCATTTAAAGTCATGGACTAACGAAAACTAGATAAAGCAGTGAATTCAGCAGGAGTGCCAGATCTGGGCAGCACAGAATACTGCATGGGTATTAAAGGATTTTGTACATGTTTACTAACATCTAGTGATCAAGTGGAATTTGCAGGCTCCAACTTTTAGAAGTCTAAAAGTTGGAGCTTGCAAATGGAGAGGGGGATATATCAAACTTGGTGATGCTGTGAGCCCATAAAATAATGATCTACTAATAGATCAGGGATGACAGAAAAAAATGTAACATTGGAATTGCATAGTATCAACATGATGTGGCTTTTCACCAGATACTTTATTATATGTTAATATATATGATACTTATCTTAATAAGATAAAGTGCTTAGAATCTTAAAATAAAATTCTATCACATATATTATCAAAGGCAATAGGAAGAACTAGGCAATATTCTCTGCCTCCAACTGCATCTGATATTGCAGTATAAGATAAATTATTATAAAATATTAATACTTCCAAAAAGAGTATATTTCTTTAAATAATCTTCTCAAAACATTATAAGGAACATTAAAAATTATACTAATACATTTCTGAATGACCTGCTATAATTTTCCTCATAATGAAGTTTATCAACAACTTACAGCTTAAGGGCAGTGTGACAGTTCCAGCATGGAAAAAACTTTCATCGAACTCTCCTTTCTTATATCCTATAGTGGAAAAAAAAGCAAAACAATATTTCTACTGTCATTTATCTGTAGGCCGCAAGACAAAATTTTAACAAAATTTTGCTAAAAAAATGCTAAGGAATGAATATTTGAACAAACCTACTTTTTACTACTACAGAAGCATAAGCTGAAAGTTCTCCTTTGACATTCATGGCAGAAGCACGATACTGAGCAGTATCATCAAAATCACATCTGTGAGGAATGAAGGATTTAGGAATAATATTAATGTCATAAAAAAGAATTATGCTCCTATATTTTGCAATAATGATCCTCTGGTCCCTTCCACACATGATGGCTGTGCTGATTTTAGAATGTTATCATTTTGGCATGTTCCCCATGTACATGAGTCTTCCAATGGGCTTTGCAGTTTCAGAAATGAATTGGTCAACTCCTGTTCCTGTCTTCAATGCTGTGACTACAGAAGATAGTCTTCCTTCATAAAAGCTGAATGGGCAGTTTCCCATTAGTGGAAATTACTGCCTTGTTCTTCCTTTTGGTTTCTTGTCTCCTGAAATGAAGCTGCTATGGTTGCATGGCTTATCCTGCATTAGTTTATGATCATAGTATTTTGCTATGACCATGAAAAGTCACCACTTTTTTGTGTGTGCTTACTTGTTTGCCTTGCCATGAAAAGCAAATAGGGAAGGAAGAAAAACAAAGGAATAAGGCAAGGCACCAGCCAGCTACCATTTTAGGCATCCTCTCTGGTCACCCAGGACTACCAGATGTCCAAAGGAAAGTGAGAGTCTTCATGGAATGGTAAGAGCCAAGCCAGTCACTGTGTGGAAGGGGCCTTTCTTCTATCTTGCTTAGGCAAATTTTGTTCAGATTTATTTATCATGTTCCCATCCCTCCAAAATTGCTCATTCAACCAGAAAATGTTAGCATAAGAAAAAAAAAGGTTACATTGCATGGTAGGATTCAGGGTGAGTATGAGTAAGTCATGATGATTTTAAAAGCAGATGTGATATAATACGGGCATTAAAAATAATAATTAAAGGAGCTTGTTATTGTTTTACCCCAATGTCCAATATCTCCAGTTTCCCACCAGAGCTATTATTTTCCAATATTATTTCACCTTCAGTGCACTATTTTTAAAGATTTATTTAATATATTAATTCCAGTAGCTAATTTGACTGTTCATATTTACTTAATGTTTATTTATTGATGCAATCTCTATAGCCACCCTTCTTAAACACATGACTTTCCAAGGCAAACTGTCATAAGAAGTTACACTATATATGAACATTTCCTACATCTCAAGAGCATTCTGATTCTTAAATATGAAAACAAATAGCTTTTATTCTATGAAATTCACCCATATTTTGTCAGTATGATGTTTTACCACTAGACAATAATTTAATTTCTCCATTGAATTCAGTTCTTGCACAGTATTTCCAAAATTCTGTTTAGTAAAGGATAGATCTCAGATAGAATTGTTTGTATGAATGAGGAGCAGGATGGGGATAGGAATATGCAATGTAGTTAGATGGGGAAAAGGGAAATATTACACATTATTGAAGGGTTCAACAAAAAGGAAAAATGAAAGAAGCGACTGTTAAAAGGTTTGGGAGTTTGGTTTGTTTTTTGTTTTGTTCTTTCAACCTTACCTCAGGTTCTCAATATTTCCTCTTGGGAACAAATCTCTCCACAAAAGTAGTTTCTTGTGGACTCCTTTTAATTCATGGAACAATTTGACTCAATTTTATAGAAAAGGATTGTTTTTTTGCCAATGAAGAAATAGGATAATGTGCTACATAGAACCAGGATCTTATATCCTATGCAGTTAAACTGTATTCTTAATTCTTAATAACATTTTGATTGTATTAAGACCCTAAATCTGATTAGCTCTATTTAGGATGTCAGCCTAAGCATGGTCATAGGACTAAGCTAGAGTTCATGGAAGATGAATGTTAATTCACTTCAACTGATATTTTGTACATCACTTGAGATGATGTGTAGGAAGTGAATCTTTATGACAGGCTGTGTGGTTTTCTCACACTTTATGGGCAAGAAATGAGCCAAAGTATCAATCATCAGAGTGGCTTGAATGCTAGTCAGGATAACATCAGCTGAACCATTTGCAGAATAAAGTGATATCCCAGCAGCAAGTTCTAAGCATCATGAAAAGAAAGCAAACAGTTAGTCATTTAATTTGTTTCTAATATATATTTTATTGCTAGTTATTAGGTGAAGGAATTGTGATACATTTTGTTTCATGTGCCAAAATAACTTGTCTGAATGCTGATATTATCCAAGATATTATCTGGCACCACATGCAGAAAAATATCTTAAGTCAGATTGACACACACAAGTGGAAGATGCTTCCATCCACACATTGAATGATGGGTGTGGGTCATAATGGTTTTATTACTCTCCATCTTCCATGACTTTTAGCCCTTTTACTAAGTAGCACATCATTCTGTGTGGGTCTCCTGCATTTCTGTAATTCAGAGAAGCTGCAGTACTTTAGGGTTCAAGTTAATACTTGTAGAAATAATACAGAAGATACCACAATGTTAAATTTCATTTTATATTCATTAGCTTATTACAGATGATCACACTAGGGCCGCTTTTTTAAAAAAAATAGGCAGTTTGCATTGCAGAGTTTTTCTAAAAAGTAAAATCTTCATCTTTCCACCAAAAGAAAAAAAAGTTATGGGCAATGAATTCTAGTTGTACCTAGAATTAAATTAATGGAAGAGTTTTTGACTGAAAAAAATATGATTCCGATAAAGGCCAGGGTCTGATAAAGAACTATTTGCTTTAAGAATGTAAACAGAGGCATGTTTTGTCTGGAAGCCATCTTTAGCCTTACTGTTAGTACTTATTAAGTGCTTAAAACTATATTCTAGTTAATAGAATAGAATATAATTTGAATAGAATTAGAAAATTGTTATTAATTTATTATTATTAAAACTATTAGAAAATTATTATTTTCTAATGGCTTTCAGAGTAGGATTAGAATCTATCATGAAGATAAAAGCAAAAAGAAATGTAATTTAACAGACTCCTTTGCCAATAATGTTGTTATAGAAATTGCTGTAGATAATGGTGATGTGTTTTCAAAATATTATTTTATTTTATTGCTTGAATACAGTCTACATTATGTGTCAATATATTTAGTTGAAATTTTAGATACAGAATTGGAATCTAGGTATCATACGATATCACAATTATCTGGAAAACAGCTAATCTATAAATAATAGTTTCAGTTAAAATAATATCTCAGCAAGAAAACATCCCCCCCCCAAGATGGCGGCGTGTTTAGACGCTGTGGCTTTGAGCTCCTGGTGCCACAGTAGAGTTAGGCAAAAACTAGTCTATACCTGCAGGGAGTTATTAAAGATTTTTAACCAATTTCATTGTATTAACCATTGTAGAGCCAAGGTGGCGCAGTGGTTAAAAGCAGCACTGCAGGCTACTGCTAGATCAGCAGGTCAGCGGTTCAAATCTCACCGGCTCAGGGTTGACTCAGCCTTCCATCCTTCCGAGGTGGGTAAAATGAGGACCCAGATTGTTGGGGGCAATATGCTGACTCTCTGTAAACCGCTTAGAGAGACCTGAAAGGCCTATGAAGCGGTATATAAGTCTACTGCTATTGCTATTAACCAATTTTGTTGTACAATGACAATAAAGATTATACTTATATTTATTACTTCTTAATGATCTTTGATCACATTCCTTATACTATAATAACATTGTACAGGAATTAATGGAACATATCAATCAAAATGATGTTCATTCATAAATTTGTACCTGTTAAAAATCTATATTGTGATATATCCTGACATTACTTTGGGCAGCAAAAATACTATGCTAATGACTTTTGAGTTTAACTGCAGTTATAAAATAACTTACATAGGGTAATCATGAAGGCCATGATTACTTCTGACAAGATTTCGGTGTAGACATCAACATTTCTAGAAACAAGGCTGATATACTCTAACATCACATTTAAGAACACCTTGACAAGGTGAAAAGACAGTTGAGCACCAGGAAGCAAATTTACTGTTGTACTCTTCTGAAAACACAAACTTTAGAAACATAACTCAGAACCTGGTGTAGACTAGATGAAACAACTGGCAAGGAGCATTAACCAATGATCCTATACCAGCCCACCTTCATATCACCAAAGTCAGACCTGTTACTGAATAGGACAAATTCAACTAGATTCATCATCCTATGTTACTTGCATTGATCAGACAGTGTTACATTGATAAGATAATCAGATCCTGGATTACGTGTTTCTCTTATTGACTACCTGGCATTTAATAACAAATCTTTCAAGCTTTGGATAGTGATTTAAATTACACAAATTCTGCTTGCTGGATGGGCAAGCAACCAATACATATCTAGAATCTAGATAAATTTCCATTACAACAACACTATCATTTTCTCTCTAGTTTCTTCCACTGATAGCCATTTTTCAATCTTTAATTCTGACATTTCACATCCCTCAAGAAATGCTTTCATATTCCCATTTTTTTCTATTGACAGACAATAACTTGTTCAGGCATTCGATCTACCCTTGAAACTAACAGAGAAAGAAGACATGTTAGTTGATTCCCATGCTAAATCCTATCATCCTCTGTTCTCTGGGAGATAATATCTGCATTGACAAGCAGAGCCAGATCTAGGCTAAAGCCTGAGTAAGCAACAGCCTAGGGGCATCAAATCAAAGCCCAATATGTTAACTGTTTGCTGAAAATAGCTAATTATGCTTAATATACAAGGTGTAGAATAAAAGGAAGGGGAGTAAGGAAAAGAAGGCATTATATTAACCTGGTTTCCTTTGCATTTATTTCATACTGCCCAAAATTATGAAAAGGGTTATTTAAAATGCCTTATAAGCATAATTTATTTCTTAAAATGAGATGTCATGTATTGTATCCCCTTTTAGGAAATATATTTAGATTCATAGGCTATATAACTTATCTTTCTACATTGTACACATTTTCATTTATTGTATTACCTAAATGCAGAATTTTTAGTTTAAATCTTTTCTATATTAAAATAATTGATCTTCCGTATATTCTTAATTTTTGGGAGCACCGGGAAAGATAAATATAGGGAAAAGACAACAACATCTCTGAAAATCTCATCCCCCAAAACAACCCAATATTTCATAAAATGCTTTCACTACTTATTTTTACAATAATATAAGTTTATACCAGCATTTGAGCTGGACAAAAATGTAAAATCTGTATTAATATCAATAGGCATTTCCTACCCTAAAGAGTATTTAAGAATATAGTATAATAATGATGCTATATTATATAATTTATTACTACGAAAACACATACTAGGCATAAAATGTTATAAGGAACGTAACTAGTACAACAAACCCTGTTTGGATACAGTTTGCATTTTCCACAAACTATTAGATTTGAAAGTTAATTTTATGAACTTTCTGCTTTGTTGGCATACTTAGTCAATAAAAAAGATTAAATAATTTCTAATTTAATTAGTACTTTTTATTCTATATAGGGTCAAATCAGAAAATGATTATTATACATTCTTTCCTATAATAATTTAATCGAGATTTAATTTCTAAATAAAGGTACATTGAATTTGTTTTAAGATTGTCTGTCATGGTTTCCTATAACATATCCAGGTGTCAAGCTTCTCATTACTACACCATTTTCCTTATGCTAACATGTTTTCTTTTTTTAAAAAAACCAATTACATGCAATATAATAAAATAATCACAAATTCTTTTTTAGGGAATTCAAAGCACAGATATATTGGTAGCTTTCATAAATTGTTATTGTCCCAGTAGGCCAAGACAGCTTCCAATCATCCAGTTCTTCCTCCCATATTTTCCAGGGTTACACATCCCATAAACATATACACGTTTTGTTCTTCTAGCAACAGCATCCCAAAATATGAAGCTTGAGCAGGGCCAGCAGATTTCCTTGTGTGCCCTGCAGTCATGGGAAATTAAAATTTGTGAAAGCTCAACAGGATCTCTTGCTCGTTAATCATGAGTTTTTGTACTTGGTTCAATAAGAAATTGCAAAATTCTACTTAAATCAAGTTGGAGCCATTTATAACAGAGGGTCTTATGTAGAAAAGATATAAAAATATTTTGGTGTTGTTCAAGACCCAGATTATATTGAGAGATTTAAAGGATCCTTGTAAGAGTAAGATTTGAATTTTTTATTTTAATTATGAATTTAAAAAAAGCCCAATATCACAGACATATTATGACTCTCTTTAAAGGCCAAATTCCCTTAAAGATTAAGAGCATTATCTGGCATTACTTTCAAACATTAGAAATTACCTAGAATTTCTTATATGCCTAGAATTCAGTAAATTATCTAAGTATATATCAAATATAAACATTAATGTATTAATTAATTAATTAATTAATTAATTATGCTAGATAAGTAATCTTAATACAGTACTAGTGGAAATTTATCAAGAAGGACGTACAAAACATCAAATCAGCTTCAGGATGTCTTATATTGTTACAAGGAGTTTGAGAATATGTATAACTTTTCATAAAATGGTTCTGTCCCCAATAAATTAAAAACCAGTAGTTCCTATTTCAACATTCTTGCAGTATATTACTAGCACCATCTTCAAAAGACATACTCATATACTATAGGGAATTATCACATACTGTAATTCTAAAGAAAAAGGAAAAAGATTACAAAAACTATATACTATTCCCTTACTTGTTAATCTCCAAAGAGTGCATCCCATATCGACTTTGGATTTCATATTTACCAGGATGAGTATGGATATTGATGGGAACATTGTTTTTATACCTATGAAATAAAAATGGTTTTATGATAAACACATCAAACATGAAGAAGAAATGAAAAAATATAAATTTCATAAAAAATAGATTTAGCAAAAAATAAAGAATGAGACTAAATTGAACTACTTGTTCACATATAAACTGATTGAAAATATCTAACTGGAATATTGCAGTGTAGAAAAATATGACTCATAAAGTGCAACACTTTTATGCATCTGATTTCATATTACATCATTTGTATATATTTATGGAAGGGTATATGTAGTAATAATAAAATAAACATGGCAAACTTCAGTAAGACTGCTGAGTTTTTATTTAGCTTTGAAAAGCATTTACGGAAAAAAAAATATCCAGAAGATGGCAGCAAATATTTCCATCAGCATGGAATACGAAGCATTTGTCAATAGTATTATTGAACTTGAAGTCTTAATTAACAAGTATTCAATTATGTACCCTACTGCATTCTCTTTTGTAAAACTGTTTTTAAAAATCTGATTTTGGTTTGTGTTTCAGTATTATTTGTTCAGGGACCATTTGAAGTTACTTATTACTGCTCCTTCAAGTTATGACCATTGCTGTGTTCTTGCAGTCATGTGATCACTATTTGAGTGCTTGGTAACTCATCCTTATGACACAAGGGGTGCTTCAGCTCCTCCACCTGCCTATCTCCACCCCTATCTGTGCCCTTTTGGTCCCTTGCACTCCATGGCCCCTGCTGCCTAGCTGATCTTTGCTTTCTTATTGCTCCTGCTGCTGACCAAGCATGCCCAGTCTGGCTCTTGGTAAGGCGGCTGTGGGCTGCATGACATACTATTGCCCAGCAGTTTCTTTGTGAGACCAGGGAAATATGATTACAGCTAGTCAGAAGCTGCCTAATGAACAGCCAGGGCATACACACCTCATCAGCACTAGGAGCAAGAAGTCAGCTGAGGTGGTGGAGCCCAGGGTGGCAGGGGTCTCAAGATATAGGGTGGAGAAGACTACTGTGGCTGCTACTCAGCTGGGGCCACTGAGACTGACTAGGATGATTGTGGCTTGGGCCATACTGCTGGGGTAGCCAGAGCTTCCTTGAGCAATTGTAGCTTTGTGTTACACTGCTGGGCAGACTAGAGTTTGCACTGTGTTGCTAGACCAAGTTGTGGCAGCTGAGACTTTCAGAGGTGGCAGTAATTTTTGGCTATGTTGCAAATCATGGGTTTCTTGGAGCTGCAGAGCTATATTGCACCAAGAAGTCCCTAAGCCTCAGCATGGCAAGCAGCCCCAAGACCACATGGCTCTCGAGCCAAGGGAGAGTGCAAGGTGGCCAAAAGAGACGAGATGAATAGGCAGTTGGAGAGAGTTGAAGGGGAGGCAATCCCTTACACCTTGGAAGAACTGAGGCTCGGAGTTAAGAGGGATCAAGGCTGGAATGGACTCTTAATTTTGAAACCAAAATCCCTCTTTATGTATTATTCTCCCTTATTCATTACGGCACTACATTTTTTCTAGTATAGGTATAACAACAGCAACTACAACAACATATTTTTCCATGGAGTTTACCATTAAAATGGACCAATATATTTTAGATCAATAATTTTACTATTTTATTATTCTAAACAATTACCTTGTATAGATTGTATACCTGATTATATTAATTTTTATGCCCCAAATTCTTAAACTTTAACTTACAATTTACTTGTACAGTATTATTATGTGATTATACTAGCCTAATCCATGATTTTAGTTTATGACAAAAAAAATGTAATTTGTAGTACTGGTCTATGATCAGCATGGTTCCTTTTGATAAACAGCTGTGACATCTAGTTGGATCAGACTCCAAATTATTATATTTAGCTCTTCTAATGAAAGGCACAACAACAAAAATATTTCTTTTATCCCTCTTCACATTCAAAGGTGTTGCCTTTCAATAGCTTGTGTCATGGAAAATGCACAACTTGTTATATTAAATTTAAATGGAACCAAATTTTACCACAATTAACAGCCGAACTAAAGCAGTGGGTTAACTTAAGGATTATTTTGCTTAGCATATTAACAATTAGTGCACATGTACAGGAATCAAGAATGACCATTCTTAATAGATTTTTTATTTTAAAAACTGCTATATTTTTCATCACTTTCCAGCAAAAAACTTTGTTTCCTCACTTTTCAACTGCATGTTAATTTGCTGTATAATAATACTTTGTTAATCTTGTATATCTATATTATTGCTTATATTATATCATAGAAAGGAAGTTAAGCTGAAGATGACTTTGAACTACATTACTTAGACTAAAGATATGAGGTTATTAAATATAAACATCTATTCTGAATACTCTAAGTAGTCTAATATTCTGAAAATTCTAAATAGCAAAATACTAAACTGAATGAACCTTGTTTTTTTTTTTTTACATTAACAGAAATTTACCTGGTGCACACAAATACCAGAACAGATGTTCTTATTCTGTTCTTAGTTACATTCTTAATTACAATTACCTTAATAATTTAAACAAACATATGTGACTGACAGAGAACAGAGTAACTGGCTGGACTAGATTCAGGAGCTGTGAGATCAGATAATACGCTCAACAAACAAGAGACTTTAAAATGACTTCCCTTTGTCCCTCCCTCCCTCTCTTTCTATCTCTACATATGCATTTGTGTCTGTGTGTGTGTGTGTGTGGTGGGTTTCAAAATTTTTTAGAACCTCTTCAGTAGCTGTGGCCTACTTTGTGGGAGTGGCTTGCCGGCCATGTGACCGGGTGGGAGTGGCTTGCCGGCCATGAGACTGGGTGGCCAACTTATAAAATGTGGTGAAACTCACTTAACAATGCTCTTGCTTAGCAACAAAATGTTGCCTCAGAAACTCTGGCATTTGAAGCATGCAAGTCTTAAAGCTGTCAAGTTACAAGACCCTTGCACCCCTAACCCTTTAGAAAAAAAAACCCTAGGGGTGTTCAAACTTGACAGCGTTAAGATTTGTGGACTTCAACTCTCAGAATTCCTCCTCTTGCTCTTTATCTTGATGATGTGCGGATGGGCAGGGGAAGGGAGCTGGAACTGGTTCTAAACAGCACTGTAGATTTATGGAACCTCTTCTATAGAAGAGGTTACACCTGGCAGGAACCCACCCCTGGTGTGTGTATTAATATGTGTACATTTTAAATGTTTGAAATGCAAAAACAATCTTTTTAATTATCTGATTTGTATAATATTTAGCTACCTATATCTTTTCAGAATGCTTTTATGAAAGCATGATTATACAATACCTACTCAGTGATGGGATTCAGCCAGTTTGCACCTATTCAGGAGAACTGGTTGTTAACTTTCTAAGCAGTTCGGAGAACCGGTTCTTGGAAAAAAAATCTAATTTCATTTTTTTCCACTTTACAGGGATAATCCTGTAAGGAAGGCAGGAAGGAAACATTCTGGTGTTGTTTCTAGCCTAGTTTACAGAAACTGTCTCTCCGGTTAACCCTTATTCCATTGTAATAGCTAAGGCCAAGTGCCCATTGATGTGAGTGACATTGAGTTGGCCACATCCACCCAGTCACATGACCACTGAGCCACACCTACCCAGCTGGTCATTAGGGCAGAAAACCGGTTGTTAAATTATTTGAATTCCACTACTGTATGTACTTAAGCCCTAATTAAAAACTCCCCCGATACTTTGCTGAACTATAAATATAATGCAGCTATTTGTCTTGTTTTTTTCATCTTTAAATATGTGAATATAATATATCTTCTTCTCCAAAGGGGGTGGGGGGGTTGAGAGCTCTACAAGCAAGGAAATGTCCCAGAATAGTTGGGATACATCATAAACAAAATGACCTGGTATTGTTTGTTTATGTAGACAAGATCTGGCAACTTTCACATATATAAGAAACTTTGAGAATGTTTTACTTGAGCTGTTCTTAAAGACAGAGTACTAATTTTCAGAAGAATCAATATTTTTATTCAAAACTACTAAATTAAAATCTCTCCAAGTTTTGCTGTGTGGCCTTATCATGAAGTGGGAGGGTGTTCCTGGGCGGCATGGATGAAGAATGTCAGGAGTGTAGGCCAAGATTATACATTCCAGCAGGGTCACCCAAAGTATGAAGGTCATTCCAGCTGCCCAATTAAAGCAAGCGGGCACCTATATTGGGAATCAGCTATCTAGAAACATGAGGAGGCAGATGATCACTTCAGAGACGCTGGCAAAGATATCAATTCATACTGTATGCAAGTTAATTCTTTTAAGATTGTAGAAGTTTCAAATCATCTGTGTCTTGAAATCTCATTGTAGTAATTTGAGATCTTTGGCATTATTCTATAAATTGAGAATAGTATGCATATTCTCCTAATTTTCCCTCAATTCTGTCCAGTTTATCTCTTTAAATAAGGCTGTTTTACCACATTCCCACAATATTAGTCAAGCAGAATATGGTTCAGAAATCAGTGATTACAAGTTCACATCTTTTCTTGTTTTGAAAATCAGCAACAGCAGGATAATCTCTGGAAACTGGGAAATTATTAGGAAGATGGCATTTAAGTTTTTCCTCCCGTCTCTTTTTCTAATGTAAATTATTCTATTTCATTAAAATTATTTCAAGAGTGGGGAACGGAAATGGTCTGCAAAGTATCAATTCTAGAAGCAACCTGCAATTAAGAACTTACATATTAAATTAAAGTCAACACAACACAATAGCTGACTTAAATTTTGGATTTCTTTCTTCCTGCATCATTTTACACCATGAACAATTCTGGATGTAACACATTTCTTCTTCATCTTTAGCTTATTTTAAGGAATACAATTTTATTTATGGCATGAAATAAAAGTCACACACTTTTAGCATCTGGTGAGCAACATTCCAGAAGAGGGAAGTCATTTCCTAATTTGGAACCGCAGCACATTTACTCTTTTTATGGGTTAGCAGTTCAAACATACAGTTGAATTCCCCAAAGATATGAGTTTTCCATATTTTTCCTAGTAAAGCTAATAAGAGAACATGACTGAATGTAACATAATTCACTATGAAGTATAAGCATTTATTCAGCTGAAAACATTAAGGGTTCACAACTTTTATCACATTTCCATGTTGTATAAGTGCTGCTTGTTTCAAGCATGTGAATGACATCTACTTAACAAATGATAAGCAAGAGTTATCAGATTTCATTTCATATCCCAAAGCAAACACCTGTCTGATGCTCATTCTTTCCACTGATAGCTAAGTACTTAAAATGCAATTCTCTGCATGTTTCAGTCAATAGCAAATCACACTGAATTCCTAGATATATAGGACCAAAACTTAAATGTTCAGCGTTAGGACAATTTAAAGGGAAGTATTGCATCACATTCCATACAACAGCTAATTTAATTTAAAGTAAATTCAATTCTTGGATGTAGCTTCTATAACAATATTGGAGTGATGCAGTTTTAAATTACTCACATTGTCAAATTATATTTCAGGCAAGCTATCAAGTTGAAAACAACTTAGAAGAGTAATGGGACCAATATAACATCGTTATGCCAAAGTAATCATGTTATCATATTTCTGACTTTGAAAGGTTTTTTTTCTTATTTCTTAATCAGTTTGCATTCAGTTTAAAAATATATAATCTTTTTGTACATGTTCCTTTTTAAATATATAAATGTAATGCCTTTTTCTGTCAGATTTGCAAACTTTTCTTCATATAAACGTATTTGGAACACATCTTTTTCCAAAATAAATGCTTTTCAATTGACAAATTGTGCCACAAAATTCAATAGTGCCAACATCAAACTGTTAATGTGTTCAGTATACATATTGATTCAAGAAGTGTATATTATATTATATTATATTATTAATATTATTCCTAGTGTGATTTGGAAAATTCTCACTTAGAATTAATTGTTGTGTTGAAGCAAAAGTTACTTGTTGTGTTGTAGCACACTTAATGATAGCCATTATTCTCAAGCCCTCTGCAGGAATAAGATATACGGTATAAGCTCTATAGGATATAGCAGGCGTAAGATAGCCCACAATGAAATAAAGTACTGAATTAAAGTAAAAACATGAAACATATTTTAATTTATATAATAATGTGTGAATTACTTTAAGCATGCAAAAATTCGCTAGACAATGTTAAAAGTTGGATTTGATATCTTCTCAATACAGCATTTATAGTAAACGTTATGTTTATGTTAACCTATTCTAAGTGCATTACTTCAACTTACAATGCTGATAAAGAGACAAGCATACCATGTAACACGAGGTTCTGGCCAGCCTCTCACAGTGCAGTGCAACCTGGCATTCTGTTTTTCCCAGACAGTGTGTGAACGAGGTTTGATAACAAATTCAGGAGCATGTAGCAGGCTATCTTCATTTAACTTTCTGTGGAACTCCTGTGTCTCTGTTATCTGTAAGGACAAACATTTCACCTTAAAAATCATCCTGTAGACATGCACTAGCCTTAGCTTTGTGGTAGACTACTACATAAAATATATTTGCTGTACAGCTCATAAATATAATAAAATATTATCATAATTTTCAACATGCCATTTAAGTACCTAATTATTTTCTTAAAGAAGATGACCACAGGATAAAATGAAAACATTATTATTTTCTCTAAATTCTAGACAGACTTAGAATCGACTGTCCATCACTTCCTCGGTGCAGAAACAGATGAGACCCTCCTCCCTGTCCTCTTCCTCCCACTTCCCCATCCCACTCCCAGTCTCAGGAAATTGCAAATGTTTCCCATATGCGTGTTTTCCAGCTTTGATTCAAATGGATATTTTCTATTGTTTTAAGACCTTCAGAGTTGATGGTCTTTGGCATCTAGATGAAGACTTTTCTCCCAATGGCTGTGCTACCTGGCAACCTCCAGTGGCTAATTATTATACTGTGCAGCCATTGGGTTACTATGTTCTCTCCTGATTGGTATCTCCCTTAAAAAAAAAATTCTTACTGTTTAAAAAGCAATGTTTACAGTTTACAATTAGCCATTCTTAACTCTGGAAGCTCATGATCCATTTTCCAGTGAGCACCCTTTCCTTTCCACAGTCTAGGGAAAGCAAAGCTTCCCTTTCCATTTTTCAAAGAATATTAAAGCTGCTTCTGTAGTTGCTGCTTTGCGTTTTGAAGCTAAGCTAGCATTTCTTCCTCATTACAAAGCTTCCGTGCATCTTCAGGAAGACGTAGGAATGAAAAAGAAACCTGTTTCCTGCTGCTTTCATTTTGTGGTGACAAAGTTAGGATAAGGGGATTAGGGCAAAAGGAGATAACGTGAGAAGAGAAGGTATCCAGGTACACAAACAACAGGGAGACGTAAGAAAAGGCACATGGAATTGCAACTAGTTAAAAAGGAACAATCTCTGAAAGGAAGAAGTGGCACCAAATCAGTCAATGAGGTCCTTTCTTTGCATAGGTTGGAGGGGAAAGAAGCAGAGAAATGACCATTCAGTCATGATCTGGACTGAACACATGACTCCATTGCCAACTCTCTGCATTTGGGTCAGGTATTTTTGAAGTTGGCTTAAGAAAGAGAACAGCATGGAAAACCTGCTGTTAAAGGAAGCAGTGAGGCCAAGTAAAAGGGGAATGTGACTTTTCCCATGTGAAATTATGGAAATATTAGTATCTAATTTGGAATTTTGTTTCTCCCAACATAATCTTTCCTTACATGAAGAGAAATGTAGAAGGGTCAGAAATTGGCCACAGCACGTGCCAGTTGGGACAATAGATCTGCTGGTTGCAAAATCCTTTTGGTATGCTCACTCATAGTCCAAGCCAAAAAAACAGTCTACAGCAGTTCTGGAGCTGGCATTGATTTATTTATTGGCTTCAACAGGAGGGAATTCCTTTTATCCAAACAAAGAGAGTACTGGGGATGGGAAACTGATCCTTCTACATTCTTGCCCTTCAACAGGCGCCAAGAAAGATGTTGGAGTTTTTCTCAGAGGGAACAGATTCATACTCTGCCCAATCCTTATATACCCATAATTCTATCATTTTTATCTGTAGAGATACAGGAACATCGCCTGAAAAATCTATTCTACAGCATTTCATATTTAGATACTGAATCCTACCAAATATTTAAGTCCTAATGGTTCAGAAATTATGTTTTTTCCTCACTTGAAATCAAACAGAAACATAATAACTAATAATGGCTTACTTATTTTTGTAACCATGTCCTCTATTTTGATATTTTTAACAACAGTAAACAACAACAAAGCCTCACATCATTAATGAATGAGTAATTTAATACCGTTTTCTTTAAAGCCAATCTTTCAGCTGTCTCCCGTATTGCTACTTTTCTTGATTTTTTCTCATGGTGTTCTTCTTCTACAGAAGAGGAAATTTTCTTTTTGGTTGTAGTGATCCCTTCCCCAGCAGCAAAAAGATTCCTTCTGGCAATATAAGCAGCACTTTCCTTAATTCTTTCTTCTTCTTTATCTGTAATTCCACTAATATAGTTTTCTCTGCAGTAATTAAAAAAAAATCCATTGCATATTGGAAAACAAGACATTTTATCTTAGCACTAGCCAATAACCTGGCATTGCCCGGATATTTATTTATAGGGGGGAAAATGTCCAGACTAAACGTAATTTCTAATGTTGGCTTTTCCCCCTTACCAAAGGGAGTCCCTCCTTGTGGAGTATTGTGAAGTCATTACCTTGGCAACTCAACTCTGCTGTACAGTAGAAGCCAGTATGGCACAACAGGCTGTATCTTAACAGAACCCACACAGAGAGGGGTGTTAGGTGTGTCTTACCCCCCACAGTATTTTTTCCAGAGTCATTTGTGTACCAAGTTTGGTTGAAATTGCTCGAGGCGTTCCAGAGTTATGCTGGAACACACACAGACAGACAGACAGACAGACAGACAGACAGATAGATTTATAATAAGTTAAACATAGTCCACTGACTATATCAAGACGATGAAGTTGTCCAAAAGTTGTGAATGTTCCAACACTGGAAGTTTTTAAGATGTTGGATAACCATTTGTCTGAAGTGGTGTAGGACTTCCAGCCTAAGCAGGGGGTGGACTAGAAGACCTCCAAGGTCCCTTCCAACTCTTTAATTCTATATTCTAACAATGGACTTTCTATATCAGTTTCTCCTAATTTGTGCTGTAGATAAAGATTTAGGAATGAAAGTTGTGGATTACACAAATTTTAGCCCAATTTTCTGCATAATATGCTGTGTGGTGGACAAGCTGTTTTTCCTGATTTTCTTGAAAAATATTAGTTATCATCTTATTGTCTCTTTATCTTCAGAAAATAAAGGTAAATATGAAAATATACCAGTACTTGTACAAGATGTCGATGTTATGGAAATCTACTATATATCAAACTAGCTTAATTCTTTTAAAAAACATTATAGCTATTAGTCTTTACATCTGGTATACATATATTTCAGTATCAAAGTAGTATACTTCCACAATATACCGGTAAATCATAATGAAGACGAAATTTTGAATGCAGCAAACAGTTGTTTTGAAAGCTAGCACCTGGGATTGGAAAAGGCAACAGTAATGGGCTATTTATTTAGCTTTTCAGTTAGCAGCTGCAGTTATTGACTTTAAGCAAATCTTCACATGTATATCCAGTCCAATGTTGTATTCTTTTCATACTTTACCAATATTTTTAACATAAATGCCAGTTCATTGAAATGTGCATGCGAGTATTATGGTCAAATCCATATATGTAATTTATCACTATATAGTTGACACATATACTCACTCTGAATATAAATTTGAATATAAAAGATATTAAAAGGCTATCCATACCATTCTGAACATTAATTCAAACATTGAGCAGTTAGAAGAGGTACTGGAAGCATTCTTGAGATGAAGTGCCAAATGTTTAGACTGATTCTGAATGAAATTCTTAAACATTTTAAACTTTAGACAGAGTGTAGAATGGCAGATTTACATATAAAATCAGATGACTGAATGATACATTTGGAATATTAGCATAGTAATAGTTATATTTTAGATGATGACATTCAAGTAACTGTTGGCTTAGCTAGGGATTATGTACTCTTAAATCCAAAATATTTCTGAAGGTCATTAGTTTGGAAAAGGTTTCCTTCAGAATACCAACAAATCAAAGTACACGTCAAATATTATTAAATTTGGAATGTTAATAATCTAGCCATAAGAGTGGGGGGAAATTGCAGTGAAAATAAGTAGAAATCAGAATTCATAAATTTGACTAACTGATGCCAAGGACTATTTTTATATCATGTCCAAAATGAAAAACTTTTAAAAATGTGTTTTGTGGCACCAATGCAAACAAAGTCTGTACAAGTCAGCAATCTAAAAGTGGATGTCTTGCATCAGATCATTCTTATTAGAATATTCCTAAATTAGCTTTGGAATCCAATTATTTTAGGTTCAAATCTATCTTTATCAGTTGGCCAGCAATCAATACAAGCTATCAGCTTCCTAAAAGTAATTTGATTTTTTTAAATTACATTGGCTGTCTCAAACAATTATCTCACCATGACAAGGGGCAAATTGACCTAATTAATAATTTAGATATGGTTTACAACTATAACATGAATCTGAGTTGTAGCTTTCAGATAATAAATAGGTGGCAGTGGTATCACATAGTCCAGTACTTTCTGGCACAAAGAATGGTTAGACTTATTATGAATCAAATTAACTTTTTATTCCTTTAAGAAAGATTGGCAGAGGCTAAATTGACAAACAACAAAGTTATCATATTTGTTTTATAGGCAAAGATTTAAAATAAATTTTCTACATTTAAAAATACTTTGGAAACAGCAACAAATTACAAATAGGTATATCCAGACTGAAATCACATTGTCAGATAATTGTTGAAAAACATTATACTGACATTGTACAGAAATCAAAGATTAAAAGTTTTAAAAACTATTTCCCTATTTCTAACAATATGTACTGAACAAATTTAAATAATTTTGAAAAGCATGTTAGTTGTTCTGGTAGCTCTAACTGTTAAAATAATTGTTTTATATTCCAATAGTCATGGATACTATTGCAATAGATTCTTACTCAATTATACAATAAAAAATTAGAACAAATGAGACAGGAAAACAGTATATATGTGTGGCATGTATGAAAAAGTGAAAGATAGCTTTTCTTGTATTATAATAAATATACTGATTTTTAACATAATTGAATAGACAGAAGACTACTCTTTTCTGACCTAAATTAGAATTCTTAGTTATCTACTAAGATTAAGGTGACCAGATTTTAACATTGGTAAAGTGGGACACCATTGACCGGGGGGAGGGGTTCTTGATTAAACATTTGGTCTATATGGTCCATGGATCCCTTCAAAGGGAGGGTTTCCAGCCCCTTTCACAAAGGGGAGCCAGTTCCGGAGAAGCAACTCAGAGCTCCTAATATCCTCCCTCAGTTCCCCTCCCCCTCCAGGCCCTGATTGAGCAATGGGTGATTATGGGGGGGGGTCTCCTCCCCAAATTCAGGGGCTCCCCCAGAAGGAACAGAAGCTCCCCTCTTGCCTGATCTTCCCTGAGCAATGAAGCCTCTCCCTTCCCGTTCTCCTGCCGTTCCCTAGCTTGTTGTGCATTATTTCCCAAAATTGGGACTTTTTAAAAACACAGCGGGACGCGGGACAAATTGTTAAAAATCGGGACTGTCCCGATGTCTGGTCACCTTGACTAAGATAACTTTTAAGTTATTTTAAGAATAACATTTTTCTTGAAAATGTCATTATAAAACAATGGAAATCTGATCATATTGCTTATTAAAGAATTCAAGATTTCCATAGCAATTTCAGACCCATCAATATTCTGTGTAAAAAGTCTTAAATTCAAATTCAAATACACTACAACTCAAATATATCTTCTAATACAGGGGTGTGAAACTCAAGACCTGGAGGCCAGATTTGGTCCATGGGATGTTTAGATATTGCCCGTGGGGCTGGCCTGGAAACAGCAAAGGACTGGCCACTGCCAATGAAAATGGAGGTCGCCCCCCTGCATCCCGTTTTTGGCCATGACGGTTTCCTGAGCTCCATTTTCACTGGCAGAGGGCTGCAGGAGGCCATTGCGGTAAGAAACGGGGTGCAGTGGGCCACATGTAACCCCATCGAACTCCATTTTCACTGGTAGAGGGCTGCAGGAGGCCTATCAAAACAAACTAAAAACAAACAAAAGGAGAAATGTTTCCCCTTTTGCATTTGAGCATGAAAGAAGGAACAGGAAAGGAGAAAGGGAAAGAGGAAAGACAAAGAAAAAGAAGGAAAGATGAGAAGAGAGCAAGAAAGGAAAATTAAGGAAAGAAGGGAAGAAGAAAGCAGGAAGGAAGAGAGAAGGAAAAAGGAGAAAAAGGAAAAAAAGAGAAGGGAGGGAGGGAAGAAGGGACGGAGGAAGGTTATAATGAGAGGGAGGGAGGATCTCAGGGAAGTTCTGCCTTAGCACTTGGCCACCACAGGTGCCCCCGACATGAGTCCTGTATCATGCCTACCATGGCCATGTTCACTTCTGGTCATGCCCATCCCTGCCATGCCCCCCCCAAGGTCAAACACAACCCTGATGCAGCCCTCAATGAAGTTGAATTTGACACCACTATTCTAATATGTTTATATTAACAAAAGACTCAATTTTTCTATTAAAAATGTCACAGAAAATGCAAAACAGTAAGATACTTAAAAGACAGCATTAAGTATTTAGTTCAATTTATCTTTCTGTTTTCTCTCCGTTATTGATTCTCTTGCTTTTCAATTACTCATTCTTAATTGAAATACCACAAATGAGTAAGCAGATTTTTAAGGATAAAAATTCAAAACTTCAGAGGAAACATAGATAGGAGTGCACTATTGATGGCTAATATCAAGCAGAATATATATTTTTATCAACCTCACCATTTGTGCACTTTTATGTGCAATAGAAAGACTCATTAGGAATGTATTGATGTGGTTAAATTTAGCACTGAAGCCATTATAAAACTGTAAAAAAATGTTTACTCTTTATCTCAATCATTTTTGTTTGTCCCATTCACAAAACAACAGTAAAGACACCTACCTTCCACTGAACACAGGGACAACATACTCAATAATGGTGTTTTCTTTTTCATCTGACAATACACTTTGTTTGGCTCTCTTTGCTTTAGGACTCAACTTTAGAGTATGATCTTCTGCCAGGCTTCTGAAATAAATGTCATTTTATTAGATTTTTAAAGACATCTTCCTTAATATTACTACTATAATGCAAGTTGAACATAATGGAAGTAGGCTATCAGAAGGCATTGATAGTCTTCAATTTAGCAATATATATTTCAGTCCTATGCCCAGGTTGCTTTTCCGGGTAGCTATAAAACATGAAAATAATCTTGAACTCAGAAATATCTCATGGAATTCAGTGTTCTTTATTTAAAAATAATTTTTATAGCATATGAGCTTCAAAATTTCTGATAACTACAGTATTTCTTTTGCTGTCACTTACAAATCTGGACTTTTGTAGCTCAGATTTTATGCAATTACTATGTTAACACTGTATGGAATTTTCAGCCTTAATTACTGTCCTTCCTACTTACTAAATTCACTGTTACTCATTTTTACCCACATTTCTGTCTGCCACCTATTTCTTGTGCCTTTCTCTGACACATAATTTATTGATGTGTTCAAAAGCATGCTGCTACTTAAGACATTTCTTGTAACAATAAAATGCTGATACTAATAAATGAGAAGCAAACTACATAAAAGCCTAATTTGGGAGGCATATTGTGAAAGAGAAAAGGGAGTGTGCAAGCAGTTTATTCTATTTCTGTTTTACATGGAGTTGGGCAGGGAGGTGTTGTTCCTAGTGCAGGACTTAGGTGAAGACTTGGAGGAAGGTAATGATTAAATTATACTTCTTGCAACCTATGCTCAGCATTTTAAGATTAATAGAAGTGAAGACTATCATAGATTATACTGTTCTTGAAGGTTTTTGGAATAAAAATAGTGATATCAGCTTCAAGGTATATGGGCCCCAGTACATCTTCAGCAT